GAGAAGGAGACTTCTTCTCTCCACTGAGTTTCATTCAGTCACTAATCTGATGGCCCCCACACTGGATACTTTCTGGAGAAGTTCAATCTTGTAATTAAAACAAACATGCATTAGTTTAAACAGAGGAGAAAAAAAATCCCCAATACTCTCGCCTGATAAATAAATACTAGGGCTTTAACACTGACTTGTCCTCTTCCTCCATTTACTTCCCACATTCATGGAGACAGAATGAGTCTTAAATGTTATCAGTGAGCTGGGCAGACTGAGAGTGACCTATTCTACTGCTGTTCTGGGTCAAACAGCTGCAGGCTACAGTGTTTGTCTCCTGCAACAGGGATCATGTTTCTGACCCAAAATATTAAACCTGCGTTCATTGGGTTTGTTTGGGCCACGTGCAGGAAGCAGAGCAAGCTGGAAACACAACATTGACATATAAGCACCTTTTTATAAAGAAATATGTGGCTCATTCATTCGATAAATGCTCCACTGTGTTCAGCTCGTTGCTAACTTTGTGTATCTGCTGTTTGGCGCTGGGGAGATTGTGCAGAGCGGGGTCTATCAGAGCATTTATACTTGAGCACTGGTGTGTCTCTGTCGCACTGCAGATAACACGGCCAAAACTAGCTGGTGGTGGGGTTTCTATGCCACCGTTGAGTTTCGACTGAAACTGAAACTCTCACTCGTCTCTCTCCTCAATTCAACAAAAGATTGATGGAATACGAGGGGACAGACGAGAGCAGCGAGAGCAGCTGTGTGCCTGTTTATCTGTTGGGTTTTTCCACATATACCAGTATTTGCGTGGAAAAGCTCCCTAATGAGGATATTTTAACTCAATGTATCACATTATTGTGGCACATTGAATAGGAATCAAAATTTCCCAAAACCTCAGACATTTCCAACTATGTGTTTCCTTTGTCATTGAACTTAAGCCTAGCACTAAAATATGGCCACATCAGATCAAATTATATTTGTCAACTTTGGTTTTCTAACATATAATTCTTGTAAATTCACGTGTTAAATTTGACAGCTTTTGAAACCAAACTGCGTGGGCATCTGGGGGGGAAAAAAGCATTTCTTTAGGGGTTGCAGCTGCTCCTGTAGATCCGCCCCCGCTGATGAGACTTGAACCAAGGGATTATAACCAAACTAATGAGCTGAAAGAGGTTAAAAAATCTTCTTAGAGTTAAGGGGAACTGCAGAGTCAGGTGATACGTTTCCGTGCGTTCGTCTGTAACCTCTCCGTGTGTCCAGTTTTAATCACTCTGCTGGCTTTGATACTTTAAAAAACAGCAGAGTGACATTTGGGCTGATCAGTCCTTGGTCACATGAGAGAGATCCTCCATTAATCTGGTCTATTTGGTTTTTTATTTATATTCAATCAAATAGAATAGAAAATATCTTAACTGTCAGCTGGAGGTGGAAATTTATCTTTGGCTTAGCAAATCAAGATATGACCTCCGTAAATAATCTCTAAACGGTGCCCAGTGCAGCCCCATTATCGGAAGCTACCGTATAATGGGGCCTGTTGGACGAAACCAGCAACTACCGTAGGTGCTTTTCAGTTTCAGGGGATTTCTTTTCATGTCTGCTTTTTAAAAACGTAACAAAACAGAATTCTGAAGAAAATCATTTATTTCTGACAAATACCAAGAAGTCCTAATGTGGGATATGAAAGTGTATTTAGTGAAACGCACACAAGTGGTAACTAAAGTGATAACAGACTGCCCAGAGCTTCACCAATCTTCTTGGGGAATTTGAATTTAATGCACAGGTGTCAGATTATATTCTGTGAAGGTAAATTCCATCATGCTAATTATTTCAAGGTGTTTTCTGCTTGCTTTAATACCTTACGCAGTAAGAGTGATGAAGGAAAATATCTAAAAAATAATAAAATATCTGTTTGCTTTGTGTCTTGTCATAATGAAAAAAAAATATTACAGCAACAACATTCTGCTGACTTCTTCATGTCCATTCACAAAAAGTATGTCATTGTTTCGATATCGAACTCCAGTTTAAATATAGTGTCAATTTAGTTTCTGTTTTCAGTTATCATGGGGAAATTGAGGTCAGTGAGTCAGGCGTAGTACTGTTTTAAACACCCACAGTCATCCGTTGTGCAGCAAACCACAAACGGCAACAGCGATCTGAAAATCACCTTTCATTTTATCTAAGTGTTTAGTCTAAGTGATGGAAATGGCACCTGTGCACAAGACCTTTCTCCCATAGCTCTAATATTAAAACGGTTTGACATTTTCATACAACAAAGCTGACGGAAATAAGAAACCCGTATTAATAATTTCTTCAGCCAATATCATCATACCATCTACTTTATAGCAGCGAGTCCTATCCAGAGCTTTTAACCCAGGGGTACTGCTGCAGCGTCTGATTTAAAGAAATTAATTTGTGTCCATATATTTGTGTTTTTGAGGAAAATTAATACGTAAGTAGGATTACAAAGAAATTAACATCATCTCAAGCGCCAAATGCGGGAAGATTTTTTCGTTTGGCGAGTGAATCTCAGAAGGCTATCCATCACAGTGGAGTGTAAATGTAATTTTAAAAAAACTATGCTGACACTCTCTACTGCATATAAGTACAATGTGTGTGACAAAATGTGAAAATGTATTATTTTGGCTGGTTGATTGTTTTACCAAAAAGTTAAGTTGATAATCAATAATTTAGTATGATGATGTAGATATGATGAGCTGATTGCACAAGAATCGCCTCCAAATCTGAGTTTGTTAACAAGCAAGCAGAGAAATGGACTAAAGCCTTAGAAGTAGGATCATAGGATCATATACTGATTTGCATTCCCCGCAGGTGGTGGTATGAATGCAAACCTACTGAAAAAAAGAGACTTAGCTGAAACATCGACAAGTCTAAGATCACCATGACCTTTATGAAATAAATATTGTAACAATATCCACTTCTATATAATCAATAATATGAAATAACATCCACTTTGACATCAGTTCAAAGGGCATTGTGGTTGGTGTTGCTGATAGGGAACTTAAGCTCATCTGAGGTCGCTGTGGGGGGAACCAGTTAAAAAGGTTAGGTACCGCTGCTTTACAGGAAACCGTATGTTCCTTTGGTGTCCTTCCAGGTTCTCATCAAGCCAAAGCCAGTTTTCCAGACGGCGGTGGTGAGCGAACAGACCAGGCAGCTGGTCACCGAGACGCTGCAGCAGGTGACCCGCTCAGCAGACATCGTGCAGGGTCAGACCTCGGGCCAGGACGGGTCCACAAAGGACGAGTCGGGCAGCTCAACTGGCGAGGCCTCCCATGGAAGTGCTCAAGGTATACTTCCCGTTCCCCTTTGATAAGAGCAGATGAGACTGCTGTTACCGCATGATGCCTCCGGGTGTGTTTTTGCCTATATAGGAATATTATGCAGGAGTTTAACCCAATGCACAAGGCCTTTCCTTCAGAAATGTAAAATTGTCCCACATTGTTCCCGTCATTCCTCAGAACCTCAGCCTGTAGTGCATGTGGTGTCCTCCAGAGAGCAGGATTGGACAGAGCAGGAAGTGTCTGTGGAGTCCAGCCCGACTATTATCTACCAGGAGGTGTCTGGCGGGGAGTCCCAGTCCGCCACTTCCACCATCAAAGCCCTGCTCGAGCTGCAGCAAACAACAGGTGAGCCTTTATGTCACCGAAAGGCTGCAGACATAAGCGGAAAGCAGAGGGACGGCAGATGTGACTTGAATCAGCTGTACACATGCAGACTACAGCAGTTTTACAAGGTCAGGTGAAATATTCCTGCCAAATAACTTTCAGCATATCGCCTACAGGCCTTCTGTCACCCCCACACTTTTCCTCTTGCACAGCAGATTTGAACTTTTATTGAAAGCCTACAGTCAAACAGCCTTTCAGAAGCTGCTGATAAAAGCTCAGCCCACAGTAATTCAGTTTTTCACCTGAGGCTTTGCTTTCACATTAAGTTCATTGGGCTACAAACCTGTGGAACTGGGTTGATAGGTAGCAGCAACAGAGATTCCCACGGAATATTTGAATGCAGGAACAATTTTAGACTGAGTTGTACATTGGAAATGCGTCACAAGAGCCGATGACATTCACCTACTTCCGACTGTAAAGTCCCTAAAACGATAAATGTGATTTACTGCACAAAGCCAGAGCAGTTCAACAGGTCCACTTATGAATGGTTATATTGCCCAATGTTAAACAGTACAGTGCAAATAAAATATAGTGGAAATAGCTGCCTTTATTTACCTCAGTTGCACAGAGAACCAGTCCTTTATGCCCAAACCAGTCTGTTAAATCGTACACTTTGCTGCTTTAAGTTTCTAATTTTAACAGTAGTATTGTTGTAACTTTACAGTTTGCTAAACCCCTCCCCCAAGTAGCAACTGTCATTGCTCATAGCTTAGCAAGTGTAACCAGACACGGCAAGACCGGCCAGCTTTGGATTTCGTCACACGTTGAAGCGTCGTGCACGGGGCTGTAATAAAACAGATACTTATTTATAGAGGTTGGAGGGTGGTGTTGGTGAAATCAAAAACAGGAGAGCAAAAGTGTGAGGATTGTATTAAACTGTGTGTTTATGTGCTCGCAATCATTAGCTTGTCCGGCCAACTAGCATGCTACTACAAAAGTAAACCAGAATTACTTCCAAGGTCAAAGAGCTAAGGCCTAAGAAGCCAAGAAAAGGTTGTTTGGAGCAAAATAACAGTCTGATTTCATATTTTTTGTAATCGTTTTAATAATAAGAATTATTACTTAGCTCTACGTGTCAATTCGAACCATGCTGTTTCTTCATTTCTGTATCTTCAGTTGTAATTTTAGATAATTTTGAGTGTTAAATCTGCCATCGCTATCCTTATAAGTTACATATCTGCTGAATGAGAATGGAAATCTTGACAGCGAACAGACATTTACTTCTACTTTTACTAAGTTTTTTTAAATCGCTGTTAAGTTTGCATTAGTGAAACTCAACACTTCCTCCACAGATGTTTCACTTTAAAAGCCTTCCAATGGGTCAAAAGGTATAATCCTCACCTTTCATGGTAGACTTCTGATGTGAAACACATGCAAAAAGTGTTGAGTTTCATTAGTAGTATCTTAACACCAAATGAAAGGACACCAAATTAGAAACAATTAGAATTAATTTGTGAATATGAGCTTTTAAAAGGGAGAATTTATGACTGATCTGAACTGGTACATTATGATACATTTGAGTGTTTTTCCCTCTGAGCAGTGAAGGAGAAGGGAGAGTCCAAACCCAGACAGCACACCATCGACCTGAGCCAGATGGCTGTGCCCATCCAGCTAGCCCAGGAGAAGAAGCCCAGCCCGGAGTCCCCCAGACCCTCCACCTCAGAGGCTGAGCCCAGCACTGAGTACGTCCCAGCAGGTACGCCTCTCCGGTCTGCTGCTATCACTATACAGTACACCAGTGGTGGAAGAAGTACTAGATCTTTTACTTAAAGCTGCAGTAGTTAACCGACTATAAAAATGATTAAGTCTCATTCCCAAGTCATCAAATACGGACGCTTTGGGACCTGTTTTGGTTCTGATTGGTTGTTTTAATTCAGCTGTGGTAGATTATTTCAAATGCCATTTGGAGAACTATGAGGAGCCAGAGGAACCAGAGTTTTCTCGTATACTACTTTCAAGATAGAGTGAAAGTTTCAGCAAGCAAATATAAGAAAAGGGTATTTTTCAACGAGTAACTGCAGCTTTAAGTAAAAGTAGCATTACCATTGTGTAAAAACGGTTAGGAACTCAAAAACTGCATTCAAAACCTTAAAGTATTGGTATCAAAATATATTCAAAGTACCAAAAGTAATTATAATGTATTGCATAATGGCTCAATAATATATACATCACTGGATTATAATTAGTGTTGAAGTAATGTGTAAGCATCACTTTGGCTACAGTTCCTGTGGCCGATGTGACGATTGTTGATCTAGATCATTCAGGTTACTTCATCGTATCGCTCCCACTGCAAACCTTGTGACTTTTACGCCACACTAGACGCTGAGTAAATGGATTTGTACCATTGAAATACACACTGAATGACATCACCAGCACTGAGCACTTCCTTTTTTGGCTGGCAGAATTTCAGTGGAACAAACTAAACCTCAAACTAAAACCTTAAAGACATGACACTGTGAAACACAGTTCTCTTTTTGATTATTTTACAGAAAAATTGCGTACGTGTTTGGATGTATGTGTTCGTGTGTGTGTGTGTGTGATTGTGAGTATTTAATATGCTAATCTGACAGGCTGTGGTTCCCCTGCCAGGTAAAGTCAGCAGAGTGGGAGTGTCCTCAGAGGATGATGACGTGGTCATGTCCTCCAGCCAACAGCTGGGGAAGCCTTATAAAAGCAGCATCAGCCAGGTTACCGTGGTAACCAAACCAGCTGCTGCCTCCTCCTCCGCAGCTGCAGCGTCGCATGTCAGCAACATGGTGAGGAAACTAAAGAGCAGCACTGTAGATGTTCTAATATATCAGAATCGAGAGTACAGAGAGAACACCCATTTCTTCCTCACTTCTGGTATTTAAAGATCCAAATAGTTTTTGGATTTATGTTAACAGGTTTTGAGATTTCTGCCTTCCCTCTTAATACAGTGGAGGTGGGTGGAAATTTGTTTGTGGTGCTCACATCCTTGCATCTTTTATGTGAACAATGTGAGCAACCAACCACACACCAGACAGTTTTCATAGGAACTATTCCTTCAGTCGAGTGTGAAGTTTAAGTGATAGCTGTTCCAAAGAGGAGTCTGTGGGTTACCGCTGAAGCTAGGTGATTTGTTGCTTGTACATTCGATGCTTTTATGCTTTTATTGCCTGCCCGCGAACTACAGAGGGAAATTAGCCTGCTAACTCAGAAATGTCACTGTGAAATAAAATAATAAACAAAATGTTTTCTGGGTGGGAATGTGGGTGGAATGACCTAAGATAATTTATACACTTTATATTAATGTGATGATGGTGTTTTTAGTGTTTTGACTCACATCATTAGCTCTGATATTTATTCTTTTATGCCATCAACCTGCCAGGGACTGCAGATGTAAATTAGCCTGTTTAGTTTGATCTGGCACATTTAGATAATGGACATGTTAAGTAATGTCCATCGTCCAACACTTCAAATGTCATTATATTAACAGATGGATATAAATATTAAACAGAAACGCTGTAATAGCATCTGTGTTGTCAACAAACATTAATTAAGGTTCATTTAAATGTTTCATTCAGATTTTTGGGACAGATTTGTAGAATCAACTCCAGAGTTCTGGTTTTAATCGTTGTGTGTTTTTTATCATATATATTTTAGAATGACATTTTTAAAAGAAATAAATCCTAAGTTTGTCACTCATCAGGTCATTCTGGCTCCTAAGAACTGGAGCCAGTTTCCTCCAAGTCCTAATGTTCTGAAAATGTGAATATTTGATCATTTTAACTGCTTGTGTTTCATCTTTAATGTCATGTTGTTTTCCTGCCTCAGTGAGGATGGGTAAAGTGTCGTCCTCCTCTTGATAACATCCCTCAGTCAGCCTTCTTTACGACTGTGTTTCAGCCCTCTGACAGCCATGGTAAAACTGAGACCGTGTTAGAGGTGGGCGAGATGGAAGGCGACACTTTGGACCCCCAGACGGGCTTGTTTTACCGCTCCAGCCAACCGGCTTCAGACCCCGTTAAGCAAACCACCCACTCTGTTAGCGCTCAGCCGCCTCCCTTGAGCCAGGCAGAGGCCGAGCAGAGCCGGAACAGCTCCGCCTCCACCCAGCCGCCGCCACTGCCACCGCCGCCACCACCGCAACTGCAGAGCAAACCTCAGATCAGCCAACCTTCCTCTTCATCTTCTGCCTTCCCCTCCACTCCTCCTCTGACAAAGAAACTCCCGAAACTACGAGAGCAGATTCAGCCCAAACCCCAGGCCTTAACCCAGAGCCCCAAAGACAGACCCCTGACTGCGCCAGCACAAACCGTGGCAAAGGTCACGAGCCCGGGCACGCCAACCAAACCCCTGGTGACGCCGCAGCTCCCGAAGCTCCAGCAAGCACCCACATCCCACCACAGGCCCCTGCACACACCCATGTCTCACCCTCCGCCGCTGCAGGCGCACCACCCCGTCAGCACCGAGAAGACTCCCCCCAGCCAGGTGAGTGTGTTTACAGCCAACACTGGTAGCGCTGCCAGGAGCAGGAAATAAACAACTTGGGGCATTTGTTTCTTTTGATTTCGGTGCAGAATAGAGACACACCTTCATGCAAACTGAAAATAAAAATGCCCCGAGGTAGTTCCTAGAAACTCCTGCCCTGACTTTTGTCACTCATCTTAACAAGTGCATCCTGAGGCACCTGACAGAACCAGTTTGTGTGATGGTGCTGGCATTCCCCCCCCCTTCCCTGTCAAAGGCAATAAAAGATCTGTCATGTTTATCTTGAATTGATTTATAGTTATATTAACGCTGGCTGCAGCTGCTACTCTTCTGTTTTGTGTCACTGCGATTTTTTTCTTAGAGTCGGTCAGATAAAATAACAGACATAAATAACAAACTTTGGTTTTTGACAATAGACAAAACAATTATTAAAAAATAATTTATAGCGATAATAAGTAATTGTCTTTTGCAGCCTGAATATTTAGCCTTGAAGTCAGTCTCACCAAAACATTTTATAACCATGAAAAGTTATCACATATTTTATGTTATATGTTTATCTTTAATGATTGTGGTGAACAGGATAAATACTTTGACAGTTGACAGTTCTTTAATTTCAATTTCTCATCAAATCTCTTCACCACAGCAGCCAATCATCACACAGAGCGCCACCGTCACCAAGATCACCTTCGGCAGTTCCCACCATACAACGCCGGTCTTCAGCAGCGGCGAGGCCACTGCCAAACTGATCCCCGAGTCCAGCTCCGGGCCCTCAGGAGACAAGCCCTCGGTGTCGGACATCCTGAAGATCTCCATGATGGAGGCGGAGATCGACCCGAGCACGGAGCCCATGGTGGTGGACTCGTCCAGCGACTGCGGCCCTCTGGGGAAAGCCTTGGAGGTCCAGGCCGTGTCAGGCACACTGGACTCTGGCCAGTTCATCAGCAGCTCTGGGACCTCCATGCATCATTCCCACACAAAGAGCCAGCAGTTCAGCTGCATGCAGGGACTCACAGCACAGAGGAGCAAAGAAGATCTGGAGGTCATTGAGGTAAGATATGGATATGCAATCAATCACAGAGCTGGAGGTACCGACCGACTGCAGCTCCGTCACATATTCACCTCTTTAATAAAACAGAATTCACTTCTATGAAGGTAAAAAAGGTTATGTTTGCAAAATAAAAACAAAAAAGTAGTCAGTTTTTGTAAATGTATTCATTTTGTCGTTTTTATAAACCCATCACTTTCAATTGTTCTAGTTTTTTATAAATGTTTATATATATATATTGGTGAAATAGTGCAACAAAAAAAGAGATAAGATAAAAACAAGATAGACATGATGGACAGACAGGAATATAAAACCTTTACAATAATGTAATGTCATGATATTCTAAGAGTATGGGAGTAGAAAATTAGATAAATAGTCCTCGGTTAACTAAACAGTTTATTTTTAGCCAAAGACAACTTAAAACAAAGCATTCATCACCGCTATTACAAACATTGACCAACATGATTAGCCAACGTGGAAAAATCAAAGAGAAAATCCCCCACACACTGTTTATAACCCCCACACGTCATGCTTTAATAGGATATTTTGATGAAGTTTATTTATAAGTATATTTTCAGTTGGCTTTATAGTCACCTTTCAATGTCTCTTCTGGTTGAGGAGTACTCATCAAATGAGTTCCTGTGTTTTTTAAATACTCGATGACATGAATCAATACAAATTTATTAGTGTTCGTATTGCAGATTAAAAATAGTGGCGCGTCAGGTCATTGGTATCAGTCTTAACATTTAACTCCTGTTGATAAAGCAAAAAACTGACTTCCCAAAATGTCGAACTTGCGTGCCAACAAAGATGGAAACTACCTAAATTCATCGCCAGAGGCTTCACACTTAGTACACCAGCAATTAGACTTCCCTCCGGGGCAATCAGGAGGAGAATAAGAATTTTAATGATACAACAGAATGATCTATTTAATATCTACAGTACAAAAAACCATTATAGTCATAATCTTATTACCTTACTGAAAATTGAACTGACTGAAACGTGTGACTAACACATGCAGGTGATTCCCCAGTACTCCATCCTGCCGGACTCCAGCCAGTCCAACGTGGTGGTGGAGCCCAGCGGCTTCCTGGAAATCACCAACTACACCAGCCAGCAGCTGGAGGAGGACAGCCCCATGGAGCAGGAGGTGGACAGCAGCAACGACGAGGCCACGGCAGCCAGCCCCCCCGACCAACCGTAGCCGGAGACACTGATGGGACTTGGGTTCGAACAAACAGACTAGTGATTTGTTTTTGGCCTCAGACCCAGTGGACAAAAGACTTTTCTGGCTGCTTTTTATAGTGTTTTTCTGTAAATATTAGTTGTTGATAATAAGTATAAGTATTTTTTCCTCCCCACAACTAACGGCACATATGGTTTTTATTGCCAGTGAGGAGTGCTGTGTGTAAAAATGTGGGAGCGAGGTGAAAGGATTAGTTTTAGTGCCGCTGCAGACAGTTGGAAAGCTGTCTCTCCAAACATACAGGACTTAATTGTTCCAGTATGTTAACAATGTTCCTGCAGGACATGGCAAAGACGCTTCATGAAATTGATTATTTGGAATTTGCTGGCTTTGTGCCACTGTACGTCATTTCAGAAACACTGGTTGTCCAGAGGTTTGTCACTCAGATATTTGTATAAAATGACCCTCCTTGATGATGGACGTCTTCTTTTAAAGACCTGAAGCTTTGACCACCAGATGAGGAGTATTTTCCTTTGACTGAAACTCAACTTTATAAACCTCCAACACCAATCCCATAAGGATTAAAGAGCAGATTTTATTTTGCTGCAAGGAACATAAAACAGAACCAGAAAGGAGTCCTGGAGGAAGGATAAGGTCCAACGTACAGGATGTGTTACTGTTAATTGTAATGTAAAAAAAAAAAAATGTACCTTTTTCTTTTTGTAAGATATATTCTGCAGTTGAAAAGTTTGCTGTGAGAAATTCACAGTTTGCATTTGAGTTTTTGCATAGTGTGTTTTAAACTATGCATTTCTTTTATACCTTTTCAAACTAGATGACTAGTTGAGAGAAAAAAAACCATTTAATCTGCACAATAAATCATGTAGAACATGTCACGTATGCACCGGTTGTTGCTTCACCATTTTGTCAGTAGGTAGCCTCACATTCAGGACGGACAGAAAAAAAACCTTTAACTGATTTCTTGCTCTGTAATCCAGCAGTGTGAATACTTCTACAAGTTAGTGGGTGCAAGAAGGAAGTTATTGTAAAAGAAATTCTACTGAAATTCCTTTTAAGAGCGACTTCCTACAATACAAAGGAGCACTTTGACACTGAAACTTTAGACGCTTCCCTTCGTGGAGAACGAGTGCTGTGGTGTTGACAGGCTGAGCCCACCTTCGGTTCGTGGCGTGGATGGGACAGATGTCGTGTCTGAGGTTAAACGAGAGGATTGTAGAAGAGTGCTAAAGGCGGTTGGAGTCTTCTGTTAGCAGAACGCTGACAGCATGTTGGATGTTTGTAGGCAGCAATAAAGCTTTGTGAGCGTATCTTCGCAGCTCAGCGTTAGATGATGATATTTCACTGCTGTGGCTGACAGTAATTGACCACATATGTCGGTTTCACAGAGCTGAAGCTCAAATTATCATGAGTGTTTACTAAATTATCTTTTTGGATAAATAGTTTTTTCTGCCTGCCTGCAACAATTTGGGCTACCTTTTTGGCCGGTTTTCCCCAATGCAAAGTCATATTTACATCGGGGATCGGCTACCTTTTCTATCAAAAGAAACATTTTTGGCCACCAAAACTGAAAAATCTGATCCTACCATGCTAATTTCTCATAGCAGATTAAGCATACTGGTAAGTAGCTAGCCTAGTTATGGATTTAGCCTAGTTATAGTCTTTAAAGACTAGTTCAACAAGCTAACGTTAGCAGCAGCTCAGCAACCCCTGCGGGACGACCTTTGTCGAACAGAATGGGAGAAACGCAGATTTTTAAGGTGGAACTGCTTTATTCAGTGTTTTTAATGGTTTTAATCAGCGGGTCTGTTAGTTTTGGAGAGGAGGAGATCTCTGCGGATAATTCGGCTCCCGGTAGAAACCTCCTGAACCATGAACACTGAAGGAATCCTAACCAGGAGGAGCTGACTGCGGCCAATGACACGCCAATGGTGGTGAAGACAACAACTCCCATGATCCCACACTGCTTCACCACCTCATCACACTTCCTTTTTGAGGCCCCCTAGTGGCAGAAAGTGCACACTGTGTAGTGTAACTACACGTGAAGATTAATGGTTGTAATCGTAACTCTCCGATATTCCGTCTCAAGTATTTTATATTTCACTGCAGTGTTTCAGTTTATCTGTGAAAAGTTCCTCCAGTATTATTATATGTTATTATAACTCCTCTGCAGTAGAAGCGGACACTCACAACTCTTCCTCGCCATCTTCCTGGAAGGTCAAAGGTCGCACACAGACGACACATGTGTTTCCCAAACCGTGGAAACATGGCCGACAGTACAGGCCTGCAAAAACAAAAGAGACAGAAACAACAGGATGTGGATGGGGTCGGGAGGGTCTCAGAGGTTCAGCAACTGAATCCACATATCACAATATTAAAGTAACTGTAACTTTATTGATCTTTCCTCTCAGACGACAACGTGACTTTTGGCTCAGTATAGTATAAAAATGGTAATCCTGCTAGTAATCCTCATATTTACTGAATGTCCCTGAACTACCAGTGAGATCAATCAATCAATCAATCAATAAGAAAATACATGTAAAATACAAGAAAATCTTTTTTCACATGAAAAGATCAAAATATGTTTTAAAAATCTAAAATCTGTTTATTTAATAGATTAAACTGTTAAAGTCAAGTTTAAAACTGTTAATACATTTATAAAATTATGAAAAATAGTAAAAAGTATAAGTTGTGTCAGTTCTTTAACTGGTTGTGTCCCTGATCGGACTTGAGCTGCACATAAAGACTCATTTCAGGGTTCAGAGACGTTCTGTCTGGAGTTAGTGAGTCACTGGAGGGTTAACTGGCCTCAGGTCTGTTATCTGTGACTTCAGCTGAGTCAACAACAGGACACTCCCTCAGCACACACACACACACACACACACACACACAGGCAGTGCTGCACTCATTTTAATGGTTTTACACCTTTTTAAATATTTCCTCCCTCAGTCCACACACTCTCTTTATGTGCAGGCCTCTCAGTAACCGTACGGTTAAGGGTGACCTGGGTCCTGGTTTCAGTGCACACATTCTTTACAGTACACAACACTTTCAAGTACAAGCTCTGAAATGACATTTTCAGAATAAATTGAGATGTAAATGCTTCAAGTAAATCTTTTCTATAATCTATAATCAATACATCAGACTACCTGAGCACTGTGGGACGTCACAGGCAACCATGTTGTCCTCCCCCTGTCTCACCACCTCACCGCAGGCCAGACAGCTGACTGATGACAGACCCAGCAGGTGAGACAGGTGAGAACCTCCAGGTAACCTGAGAGACAGGCAGACAGACAGATTTATTTCAGAAGATACAAGAGCATACACAAGCTCCCTCACTTCATCCTCCACTTCCAAGTGTAAAAGGGAAACAACGGTGGCAGCAAAACACAGGAACAGTCCCTATCTACATCCAGAGTTTGTCCGCTCTGGGCTACTGTAGAAACATGGAGATTCAATATGGTGGACTCTGCCAGAAGAGGAGCGGCTGTAGATAAAAACACTCGTAGGTAACGAAAACACAACAACTCTTATTGTCAGCTGATTAAACACTAATGAAAACAAAGCTATTAATATTATATGACTGTGACACACTGGAGCTTTAATATGTGGTTCAACATAGATTAGCTTAGCACGTAGCATATCTAAGTTTAAGGAGGAAGTTGGCCGAGGCCTGCTCAACAGTGATTGGAGCACGGAGCAAAAAGGGGCGGGGCAAAGAAAAATCTTACAAATACATTCAAATGATTAAAAAAAAATAAAGTCTATCTCTGAAAGGTGTTTGTACCACAGCAGGAGAGTCTGAAGGCGGCTCTCTCCTCCTCGTCCCCCTCCTCTTCCTCCTCCGTCAGCCTGCCTCCTGGCTGCAGACCTCATCAGGGCTTTCCCAACCGTCCTCCTCTGATCCAGGATCTGCTGCCGGAGGAACCGGATCCTCTCCTGAACAACAACAGAGACACACATTATCAGTTTTATGTTTCACTTTCTTTCTCCTGCACACATTCAGCCGAGGTCTTTATCTTCTCGTCTTACAGCGTCGATGACTGAAGGATAAAGGCCACAGCAGAGACAGCACAGATAAACGGACGTGTTGAAACAACAGAGCGACTGCTGACAGATGAAACCTGAACAGAGTCTGTCAGTCGCTGTTAGCCTGCGGTGGTTCCACAGTAACACTGCAGTGTATTTACAGCAGAATAAAACAGGAACCTCGCAACTGATTAGCAGCCAGCGGCGGTGACGTACTGCGAATTGAGCTGCTCTTGGTTTCACCTCGTCCAGAGCAGGATCTCATATTCCAGATAAACACTGAACTATCTGTCCCCCTTTGTCTCTGTGCTGTCCTTATCGTCAGTTTCTTTTGATGGGTGCGAAAAGTGCCAAGGAAAATTAAAGAAAGAAGAATTAAAGAAGCAAGAAGGAAAATGGAACCTTTAAAGACTTCAATAACAGACAAAAGTTCCTTGAGGTCTCATCAACAAGGCCCTGAACCACCACTGACACTAACTCTTATACCCACCCTGTATATATGCATTACATTAATACACTCCCGTCATCTGCACAGTTTTCTTTCATTCTTATCTTTATTTATTTATATTTTAAAAGTACTTTATTTTTCTGTGTGATTTGTATAT